GTTCCCACTGGCTAAGCCTGGCTGGGAAAAACACTGGAGAAAACCTTGAAGCCCACAAAACCCTTTAGAGCCACAAGCTCCTGACCACTTGTGGCCAGTCAGGCACTCAGGGCTGCTTCCATGGGCAGCCCCAGGTCAGCCCAGCTGTGCCCTCACTGCCCACAGCCCTGCTGCCCACTCTGCCCCCACCCACGCCACTCCTGGGGGGTCAGGAGGAGCAGCAGCCTGGTCTGCATGGCCCCACCACAGCTCCCCATCTCCTCCTTCTCTTTTAGCAGCACTAACCAGACAGCCAAAGTGTTGGACACGTCTCTGAGGGAGCTTTGTTGGCCTCAGCTCCTCCTGTCAGCACTCACAGGCAGCATTTCAGTGACCTTTTCCCATCTGTGCCCTGTTTGTTCCCTCTCACGGCTGGGATGGGATGGCAGCATGTGAAGAAGGGTTGGACCTGTGTCAAAATACCTCCCTGGAGGTTACATCCACAGCCTGAGCCACCCCTGGAGCTCACTCAGAGCTGCCTGGCTGGGGACAGGGAGATGTCTGAGGCCTCCTAATGAATCCCCACTTTATTCTTTAGCTCTGTCCAGTCTCTGTTCTAGCTCAGCCTCCTCAAGGCATCCCCCTGCCCCTGTCACAGGGTGTGAGCTCCTGCCTGACCCCATCAGGGTGACAGCTGGGGCAGTGGCTCAGCAGGCATGGGAAATCACTGGGTTGTGGCCTCCCCCACCCCAGCACCTCCAGCTGAGAGGGTGGGGTGGCCAAAACCCCCCTGAATTCCCAGTGCTCTTCCTTGGGGCGCCTTTAGCAAGGGCTTCACTTTGGCAAACGCTGCTTTCAGTGAAGGAGTCAAATAAGATACAGCTGGTTGAAATTCAGCAGCCTCTTCAGAGCTCTTTGTGGCCACTTAAATTTACTTCTGACTTCAGTTACGACTGGTAACAGAGATTTGTGTCTTAAGGCTCTTGAGTGAGTCAGAGCCCTTCTCCTTGGGCTCCTGTGGCTCCAGGCTTGTCTTGGCCCTGCCCTTGTCCTGGGGCACTCCAGGAGACACGAGGGGTTCATTCTGAGGGAATGAGACCTCCTGAAGGTCAGCAATGTGACAATGTGACAACTGCTCCGTACTGCCATGCTCTGGGAGCATTTTGGAGCTTTGCTGAGCTCAGGACTCCACTGCCAGGGCTGGAACACAACGACCTCCAGGGCGGCTTCCAACCCAAACCACGCTGGGATTCTGCACTGGGGAGGGACAGAACCAGCAAGAGATGCCACCTGGAACACTCTGCCAAGTCCTGAGGCTCGTGAAGCTGTGCATCCTTGCAGATCTGCTCTGGCACTGGCTGGGGCTGTCCTGCTGCTCAGGACTCAGGATCCACCCCAATCCCAGCTCCAGAACTCTGCTTTTCATGGCATGGAGTGACCATCCCACTCAGCAGGGAGTTCCCACTGGCTAAGCCTGGCTGGGAAAAACACTGGAGAAAACCTTGAAGCCCACAAAACCCTTTAGAGCCACAAGCTCCTGACCACTTGTGGCCAGTCAGGCACTCAGGGCTGCTTCCATGGGCAGCCCCAGGTCAGCCCAGCTGTGCCCTCACTGCCCACAGCCCTGCTGCCCACTCTGCCCCCACCCACGCCACTCCTGGGGGGTCAGGAGGAGCAGCAGCCTGGTCTGCATGGCCCCACCACAGCTCCCCATCTCCTCCTTCTCTTTTAGCAGCACTAACCAGACAGCCAAAGTGTTGGACACGTCTCTGAGGGAGCTTTGTTGGCCTCAGCTCCTCCTGTCAGCACTCACAGGCAGCATTTCAGTGACCTTTTCCCATCTGTGCCCTGTTTGTTCCCTCTCACGGCTGGGATGGGATGGCAGCATGTGAAGAAGGGTTGGACCTGTGTCAAAATACCTCCCTGGAGGTTACATCCACAGCCTGAGCCACCCCTGGAGCTCACTCAGAGCTGCCTGGCTGGGGACAGGGAGATGTCAGGGAGTTTCCAACAACCCAGCTGGGCTGAAACCCCCTCTTGGCTTCTCCATCCTGCTGCCACCAGCGGGGCTGGACCCCGAGCTCTGGGTTTGCAGCACAGGGACCTTCCCTTTGAGCTGGGGCAGGACCCCCCTGCAGAGCTCCAGGGCTGCACTTGGGCTCCCCTCTCTCTGGACAATGTCAAGGACCACGTCCTTCCCTGGCCCCTCAGTAAAACACACCCCACAAACCCTCAGCAGCTCCATCCCTTTGCCTTTATCCCCTGCAGTGTCACTGTGCCGGGCTCCTGGCATTGTCTGGCTCACAGTGGAGCAGCAGGATTATTCCAGCCACCCCCAAACCCATTTACAAGGAGATCAGACCCCATTCTCATCACTCTCCTTTTCCTAGGGCACACACAGACACTTCCTCTCCACCACAGGAATAAACCTTTTTCTCCTTTCTGTCCCACAGCAGAAAGGATCTGTTTCGATGTTGCTGCCAAAACATTCCCTATCCAGCAGGAAAATCCCCAGGAAGGTGGTGCCAGCAGGACAGGGCACTGCCTGTCAGCATCCTTGGGGCTCTTCCACATGAACAGCCCCCCTGAAAGTCTCAAGTTTATCAGAGATGGGCTTAGCTGGGGGTAAGGAAGCCCAGGGGAGCCCCAGTCCAGCCTGGCCTGGAGGGCTGCAGGACAGCAGCACAGGGGCCCAGGCTGATGCTGAGCCCCACCTTTGCTCTCCTTGCCCTGTTCTGGGGTGTGCTGAACCCTGCAAGTGGGGCTCATCCCCCAAAGCCTCCTTTGTGCCTGCCTGAAGAGCAGAGGAGCAGGAAGACAATTGGAAAATGATGGTTTTTTAAGAGCACAGATAATGCCGTGCCAGAGTCCACCACATAAACCTCATTTCCACAGAGCAGATATTGAAAGCCTTCCATGGGACCAAAGGAGGCCTTGAATTTGTGTGCTCTGGGAGCACTGTCTGTGCCTGAGCACCAGGGAGCCCTGGCCCAGGTATTTCTGCCCGCCTGCTCCCTCAGCCTTCAAGAAACCTCTAAAACCCCACAGCATTTGCAACCTCAGTCCTACACAGGGCACCTCCTCGCGTCCCTCCAGAGCAGCAGAGACTCTCTCTGGCAGTTTAGTGTTGCCAGAATCTATAAAAATACACAAAACCTGGATCTGTGCATGAAATTCTGTGGCGAGTGTGTTCGACTCCCTCCTTTCCAGGGATGCTGCTTGCCATGCCCCTGGTGTCTGTGCCCTACATCCTCTGTATTGTTCCTTTGGGGTGAGCTCAGAGGGCTTTGGGAGAAGGGGATGGGGCAGACACCTGTCTGCAGCATTTGCTCCTGAAAACAGGCACAGGAGACATTTTGCTCACAGGGACATTTTTGCTTCACAGGGCAAAACGAGACCTTTTCATCGAGAAGGTTTCGCTTCCTCGCTCTGAGACTTGAAACCCTCCTTGATTTTGATTTGGGCATTAAATCCTGATTTATATCAAAGCCTGGGGCAGCTCAGGGGCTGGTGGGATGAGCTGATGCCATGGCGAGCTGTCCCTGCCCCAGGCAGCTCCTGCCCTGGCATCCTGACCTGTTCCTCCGCGTGCCCCGTGCCCGCACAGCGGTGCCCAGGTGGGGAGCAAAGGGATGGAAGGAATCAAAGTGCTGCTCTCTGTATTTCAGGAGCCTCCCCTGCCCTGGGCTGAGGGCCTGAAGTTCGGCAGCCACACTCAGGGCGAGGAAATCATTTAATTCTCCAGGAAAACCTGCTGTGATTTAGCCATTTCATGAACCTGCGGAGCTTTGAAACGCTTCCTGAGCGGGGACTTCTCATTGTGCTCTCAGTCTTTCTCCTCTGGAACGCCACATTCTCATCCCAAAGTCCACGGTAATAAATGGATTATTAAAAAAAAAATAATTAAAAAAATTCATCTTTTCCCTCCTGAATTCTAAATATTCCCAGACATGGCAGTCCATTCCCAAGTTCACTCCCACCTACTTCTTGCCATCTCCATGTTGGCACTGAAAGGATCTAATTCAGTAATAAAGAAGAGAGACTTTTCTGGAAAAGCGAAAATAACCCAAGAATCTCAGTAGCACCAAATTCCACCATCTCCTTCTTTTCCCTACGGATCATCAGGCTCACAGCCCCTACCTGGCACATACAGAAACTTAACAAGAGATATTCCAGCAAGAAATCCTGCATAAAGACAGAAATAAACTGAAATATTTTGTTATGCAACTCGCTGGCTGCTGGATTTAAATGACCTGGAATATTTAATTCTATATTTCTTGTTCTAAAGGGCTTCCAATTGCATTTTGTTATGGTATTCATTTATATAGAGTTAGATTTATTTTTAAAATAAGTAACTCAGGTTACTTACCAGTCTCATTATAAGATACAACCAAATATTTTAAAATCTATTTTTCTCATTGGTGCAAGGAAATTAGTGACATTTCCATAATTAAAATGAACAAAATCCACCTTTGAGCAATTTTACTAATGAATGTTTTTTCAGGTGCCATTTGCGTTATTTGCCGGACTAAATTCACATGACAGAATACAACAAAAGAAGGGAAAGAAGTCCAAAAAACGCAGCAACCAAACAGAAAATAGAATTAAAAATTTTTTTAAAGCATCAATTGCAGTTTCATGGAAAGGAAGAAAATCCCTGTGGCAGAGAGACAAAATTCCCATTGCACAAGGAAATAAAACCGCATCCTTTCACATCTGAACCAAGAGCCCACCGCTACAGTGCCGAAAATGGAGAAATTAAGAGTGGTAGGGAAGCCTCCATTTGCGCAAAGGGAAACCCAGGCATGGCCCTTTCAAAATAACCCCCAAACTTTTCACTGATTTCATTAATTACAGGTCAAATCTGAAGAAATCACGCTTCAACTCCAGCATGCAGCCGTGGGCAGCTCCGCAGGGCGAGGGGTGAAAAGGAAGGAACACAGAGCTCCCATGGCTAATAATTAATGAATTCATTAATCAATCATAGGGAGAGGAAGGGCGAGGGGAGGAAGGAATCTTACCACCAAATTGGGTAACCGGCTAGGACCTTTGTGCCATTGAAGAGAAAAGACAGAATTAGTCCAAGCAGGTGGTAATCCATTAGTCCAGGCTGGTGCAAGGGGAAAATCGCCGCGAAGTTTTCAGAAAAACATGAAGTGCCAAAATGAAGAATCCCCCTCCTCCCAGGAAAAAAAAAAAAAAAAAAAAAAAAGGAAAAAAAAAGGGGGAGGGGGGGTAAAAAGAGTGAAGCCAAGTCCCTCGTGGCTCGGGTGACTTTCTGGCTTGTCAGAAACACACCTCTCCAAGCCTTTCCCCCGTAGATCATCCAAAAGCGTCTATTAAAAAGTGCAGGGCTCGGGGATGTCAGCAGGCGGCCAATCAGACCGCATGGCCCAAGGTGAGGGATGAGGCTCAGCCCAGGGCTGTCAATCACCCTCTCCTCCCCCTCCACCCCACAACTTTGTTCCGAGCCCTCGCTGCCACGGACAAACCCTCTGTGCACCACACTCCACCGGGGCACTGCGATTTGGGGCGAGGATTTTCAATTTTTAATTTTTTTTCAATTTTTTAATTTTTTTTAATTTTTTTTTTACTTGAAGCCCAGGATGTGCTGCCCCTGAATGCCAGGACTCAGCAAGGTAAGGATGAAGGGTGGCTGTGGTGAGGGGTGGCTGTGGTCGAGCTTAATCTCGCAGTGGGAGTGAGGCAGAACTTGTTCTTCAGATGGACAGGGATGGGGGCACGGAGGGGTAGAAAACCCTCTGCCTGTGGTGGTGTGGGCAAAACTGGTTATAAAGTTGAAATGAAACCTTCACAACCCAGGTTTTCAGTGTGTGGGGGTGATGGATGGAGGGGGAGCAGGGGCAGCCTGGCTTTCTATTGAGAAAAAAATACCATGTCATGGTGGAGGGGAGCAGGCAGAAGGGGACGTGTCCCACAGATGGATTGCTTGTGAAGTGCATCTCTGGGTGCAGGAAGATGAAAATATTATCAAAACCCCACACAAGTAACCCTAAAAATGAAAAAAACCAAACCAACCCAAATCAGTTTCATGATTTCCAAATAGACCCAACAAAGATTTTACTTTAAAATCCTTGTTATTGAGTAGAGAGCCTGTTTTAACAGGAGCTATTGTGCAGTCAGAGGAGATGACTCGACAGAATGGGACAAAGAAATGGGAGAAGACAAACAAGTTGCTTTTTCTCCTAAAGCATCTCAGCAACCACAGCTCTGTTGCTGCCCTGGGGCTGCTCAGGGTGGAACCACCTTGAGATCAGGTGCTTTAGGAGCAGCCAACAAATCAGTTTATTTCAGAGCCATGGCAGTAATGGAGATTTAAGGTCCTGTCTTGGGCAGCTCAAGGCATCTCATGATTTTGAAAACTCTAGACCTCCTCTGGATCTTAAGGCTCTGGGCACAAACAAATTCCTCATTGTGTTTAATCACACACTGGCACAGGGAAGCTGTGGCTGCCCCTGGATCCCTGGCAGTGCCCAGGGCCAGGCTGGACAGGGCTTGGAGCCACCTGGGCCAGTGGAATGTGTCTCTGCCATGGCAGGGGTGGAATGAGATGATCTTTAAGGTTCCTTCCAACCCAAACCATTCCATGATCCTGTGATGCACCTGCCTCTTGCTTCTGCCAGTCTGGATTGCCAGTTCTGCCTGATTTTGGTGTTTGGATGCTGAGTTGGGGCAGTGCTGCTCTCAGAAGGGCTGGGTGCTGTCCTGGCCATGGCACACCCAAGGAAGGACACAGCAGCTGCTCACACGTCCCCTGTCCATCACTCCCTGCACCTGCTGCAGGCACTGTGAGGCCAAATTTCCCCAGGCTTACTCCGATGGGTTTTCCAGCTGACTGTGACCCACCATAGTTATTAAATATTCTTGTTCTTTTGTGGGGGTTTCATTCCCAAACGGGATGTTGGGTGTAGTCTGTCCTGGCAAATCTTCCTGGAACCCAGATGGGTTTTATTGAACTGGGTCTAAGAAAGCAGCACTTGTCCAATGACATTTGGGGACACGTGGATTTAAGCTGCTCCAGTAAATTTAACACTAGCTGGAAATCTTCCTCAGGTCTTGAAATTTACTGCCCATGTTTTTAACCATGAAGATGGGCCCTGGTGTGGAGCTGGCCCAGCCAGCTGACCCAACCCTAAGCAGATTTTAGTCACAGTTTGGGGTTAGTGTGGGACAGGAACTGTTCCAAACAGACCCGTAAGATTTGACCCACCTGTTCTGGAGCTTAAGGAGTTTCTCAGGATGGATGAAGGTGCCCCTGTCTGCCTCATCCCAGGGCCAGGGAATGGTCCCAGGCACTGCCTAAACAAAGCCCTGGTCTGTGTGAAATGCTGTGAGCTGCTCTGGCAAAAGCAGAACTGGAAGTGCTGCCCAGGTTTGTGTTGGTTGATGTTTTGGAGCTGCACAAACAGAATAAGGATTGAAAGTACCAAGGGACAGAATTTTTGTCATTGAAGTGTCACTGCTAGAGAGGCAGCAGCTGGAGAGACTGAAGTGAGATGTCTCAGGTGATACTACAGGTGGCTGAGCCCATGGGAGAGGAGGAAAACCTCAGACACTGTAGAAATCCAGTTGGGGAAATCAGAATTGAGGTGTTGTTGGTTGGAGACCATCATCAAGGTCTGGGTGGACCTGGCAGTGCTGGGTTAATGGTTGAATTTGATGATCTTTAAGGTTTTTCCAACCTCAGTGATTCTGTGGTGGTTGAGACGTTCCTGTCCATCAGACATTGGGGAACACAAAATGCTCATTATCCATTTCTGGGTGCTGGTATTTATAAACCAAGCCAATAATGAGCTACAAAGTGCTTCCTCTGCAGGAACCAGGAGGGAAAGTGACCCCAGACCCAAAATCAGAGGTTTATTTTCTGTTATGTTAGGGCAGGGATCTCAGTGTGCCTCAGGACAGGCTGTGCTACAGCAGAGCAGAGATACAAAGCTCCCACACACTGATGTGGCCACGGGCAGGTCCTCACAGATGCACAGTGAAGGGCTGATCCCAGGCACACAGAATTCATGGCAATGCTCTCCATGGCTCTGACCGGTGCCTGAGGAAGTCTCTGGAGATGCTCATCCCCCCAAATCCTTTCACTTCTCCATTCCACTGCTCTCTGAACATCTGCTTGTCCCAGCACCATAAGGAATCTGTGTTGTCCCATCTTTGGTGAGGAGATTGTGTTTGGAGTGTGTCTGTAGTTGCTTTGGGTTGGAGATCCTGGGAGCAGAATGTCCTGCCTGTCCCTGATCCAGCTACAGGAGACTCTTGGTTCCCAGTTTCTCCCAGTGAAATGAGCAGAAAAACGAGCAGAAAAACAATGGCAGTTCTCAGCTGTGTCTTTGGCTGTGTCAGCCTTGATCCCCCAAGCCTCAAGGCAGCAAGCAGGGCTCCCCAGGGAGGAGGACCTGTCTCCCAGGGATGAAGACTCCATTGGCTGTGAAGGGAACAGACTCACTTTGAGTCTCCTCTGATGTGAAATGAAAATCTGATGCGTACATGCTAAAATTATCCTGGGCATACTTCATGCTAGCCTGAACAAATATTTATAAGTTCTACAGCAAACATTAATTTTAAATGTAATTTCTAAGAGCAAATGACAGTTACCCAAAAGAGTACAATTTCAAAATTTCCCTCATAGATACCTCCTTGTGCTGCTGAGTGACAGTTTTATTAACTGAGGGTCTTTCAATCACATCACTCTGTCTAGTTTGGCAATATTGACTCTCATAGGCCAGTTTCAATATGCCCAGAAATGAAAGGAATTGAGGAAGTCAGAGGTTTGGCTGCTCAAGAAAAGTCCTGCTGCCTTTACAATGTCACTACAGAGGTCCTTGTGTGTTGTGGGACATTGTGGCACTGCAAACTCTGCTGCTGGAGGGGATCTTTGGTTTATTCCAGCAGCACTCCAGCAAAGGAGCATTGTGATCCCATTGGAAATGTGCCTCTCCTTCCCCTGGGGCTCTAACTGTGCAACTTTGCCTTCTTTTAGCTTTTCCTCCTTTCTCCATCCAACCTACCAGCAGGAAGAGACCAAGTGCCTGGGGAAGGTGATGGGACCACGGAGTCTCCTGGATTTATGCTCAGCGCGGATTTCAATGTGTGGAACCCCTGAGGAGCTCCAGGAGCTCAGAGCCCTCCTGGTGGAGTCACCCCAGGGTCAGGATGATGTGGAGAGGACAACCCACACCTCACAGAGGGGGTTTAGAGCCCTGGCTCAGAGTTTTGGGGATGGCAGGGGATGCACAAGGCCTGTGGTGCAGCCCTAAGCAGCGAGAGGGGTCAGAGGGCTTGACCTGCAGGTCCACCCCAGCTCACAGTGAAGGGTGGCATAGGTGAGTGCCAAGGCTGAATTTCAGGTCTGGGCACGGCCAGCAGCAGAACTGGAGGTGGATCTCTTGGACAATGGTCTTTTAAGGGTTAGCAAGTCCTAAAACCAGCTGGGTTTGATGGTTCGAAGACCTAAATTTTGTTGTTAAGAGTCTACAGTGGAGGTGAAATAGGACATTGGTACTCTGATGAATCATCAGTTCTAAAGTTAATAATTACAGAAAATCTGTGAAGAGCTGAGGAAATCCTTCCTCAAAGCCTGATGAACTGTCTGACTCCTTCCATCTGAAACTACTGAAATCCTGAGGGCTCTGTTTGCTGCTAACCCGTGACAGGTAACAATAACATTCCCTCTAAACTTCCCTGTGCTCATTTTTCTTGGCCAAACCTCTCTCCTGGATCCTTGTGTTCCCTCTGGCTCTTCAGGCTCATCACCTGTGGTGGGGATGCTGTGAGATGGTGTTACCTGGGCCGGTCTCACCTGGACAGAGCCATCCTGTGAGAACACCTCTGAGATTAACAAAACCCTTTGCCACTGCTTTTACTGGTTTAGCAATAACTTTATGGCTCTTTTTTTTTTTTTTCCCTACAAATATCCTTTACCTCACTCAATTTATTTACAAACTATTCTAAGTAGAATTCCTCCACTTGGGATATTTTTTGTCTACTACTGATGATAGAAACTCTTTTCAGCCAGTTTCCTGCAGTATCCCACTCTTGTGGCCCAGGCCCTGGGATTTCTGTTTTTTTTTGTTTGTTT